TATATATATATATTTTTTTTTTTTAGACTGTTTTGGTGGGTATTGCTGATCTGTTTCAACCGTCGACCCAGCTGAATATTAAAAATATAAATATTCAATCATTTGAAGAAATAAATCGAAAAATATTTATTTGTTTAGAATTAATGAAGCAATTGATTGATACAGGAAAGACAATTCGTTCATCATTTGAAATCAGCGACTTACGCAGAAAAGACTTTTATGGGGAGGGGAAGGTATGAGTTGAGGGGTGTAGAATTTCACTGGATCAAATGCAACGGGAAATAAGACAAGCATTTGTCGGTAGCAATGTTCGGGATTACAAAGAGGTTTTCTCGCAGTTTGTAAACTTGTTAATCATTTGGCTAGTGTATTCGATGACTCATTAATAAGTACTTGTAGCTGTATTGTTATGTTATATCTCTCCTAATGTGAAATTTGCAGCATTCATTGATCCATCCATCACATATATTAGCACGTATGAATTTAACCATTTATACATTATTTTTATGGAAGTGTCAGCTATCGTTGTTTTCCTTCCCAACTGATATTTATCATGATTGGGATATGCTTTTTCAACGAAACCATTCCATCAGCACTAGTCGATTCCAATCGAATTCAACTGAAAATATTAATTTAAGTGATATGCAGTAATGGAATTAATTCCATCATCATTAGTAGCTAAAATATGAGCATTTCTGGAATTTTTCAAAACTTACAGCGAACTTTGGAAAATTGTTAAATATGCCAACCGGTGCTTGGGCGCCAAAAAAAGTGGCGCTGAATCTCAATGATGTCAGAATGACTCAGAGAAATTGTTTTTTTCGTATCATCTCTCTTGATTTATCAACAAGACGAAAGAGNGAATTTTTCAAAACTTACAGCGAACTTTGGAAAATTGTTACATATGCCAACCGGTGCTTGGGCGCCAAAAAAAGTAGCGCTGAATCTCAATGATATCAGAATGACTCAGAGAAATTGTTTTTTTCGTATCATCTCTCTTGATTTATCAACAAGACGAAAGAGTAGTGTTTGAATCATAATGTGAATTAAGAAAGATATACGCATCTGAGATTGTACAGTGATTTGAGTAAAAGAGCTAGAAGATTCTATTGATCACTGAGGATTGTTGAGGTCCAGAAAAAAGAGCAATCTTTCGGAATAGTGTTGTGAGGGGGAAGCCTTATGTGGGGATTTACTGAACCGCCGTTACCAGTCCGAATTAACCGAAAAATCAGCACGTTTAGCAGAATAGGAATGGCTTAGGGAAATTACTGAAGTTTTTAGGTTTTGCTCACAACATTACACCAGTCACCATCTAGACATTTTCTCTCTGGTGGCTGAATCGAATATAAGCGGTTTGATCCAGTATAATCACTGATTGTTCTTCTTACTCGACCGCTCGGATAAAGAGAACAGACTGTATTATAATATCTTAAAAGTTGGAACTGTTCGTTCTATTCTGCTGTATCACCGTTCAATACGCAAACTTAAATGTGCTGCTTGGATCGATTCATCAAAAAGAACAACTTTAAACAGAACTAATTTTTGAACAGAATTCACTCTTTTTTTCTGTTGTTATTGAGGAAGAGAAGATTGTTGTCAGATGCACACTTCGTACCATAACGCCAAGATTGTGCAAATTCATCAACTGTTGAACTCACTGAGCTACCATATTGAGGCCAGAGGTCATCATCGGGATTTCCATTGAAGTTGCCACACAAACCGCATACCTGAAGCTTGTTGAGACAACAGGGTATCATTTTGCTACATTATAATTAACATTTCAGTAAACTGTTGGATGTGGAGTCGCATCGAGAAAAATATGTTTCAAATAATGAAAAGGCGTTTTATGGTTCAACGACTACCTAGAAGTTGAAAGCAGCTAATCTCCGTTTCTCGGCGGCTGTAACTGACAAGAAAAAACGATTTTCAGTGCCTTTAATTTTCTTCGATGCCGACCCAAGTCAACTGTGACTGATCGGTTGGTAGTCACGACAAATCGAACTTTGTTTGCCACCGAAGAAAAAAAATTTTTCGTTCTCCATTCTAATTGAAAGAATTGAAGACCTTTGATTGATGCTTCTTTGACAGTATCACTTCGGCAAATGATTCACCATCCCATATCACTTTAACACCGATCACATTCAACGACAACACCACATGACCTTTACTCGGGTCCTCAGCAACTCTATATTCGGGCCAGTCTTCAAGACGAATATACGGTAACTGAACTGTACGACCGCGTTCACGAACAACCTTGAAAATGAATCAATAGAACATTTAAGAGTGAAGGTCGAGTTTCTTGTTGCTGGAATGCAGTGATGGGCACGCTAACGGATGAAGTTGGCGCGCTAATCGCTAATCCGCTAACCTAACAACTACATCCACTATTCCTAACGCCAACATCGCCAAAAAACTAGCGGAGTGCTAACGCTAATCCGCTAATCAAGCAAATTTGATCCGCTAATCGCTAATTTGAAACTTTCTCTCAAAATTTGCATCAGTACCGTTTATTTGTAAAGGGAAAACCTCACTGCGACGTTAAACAGTTGAAAATCTTTATTGAATCATTCAACAACACTCAATAATTATCAGTCAATAACAATCACCGGTAAGTAAGTCAATAAACGCCAGAAAATCATCAGTCACTAATAATCATCGGTTTGTTAATTATATCAAAATTTCCGTACAATTCGATGTCACAACAATGTACAGTGCAATCATCAATCGCACATCCATCCAGTTAACATTATTTCGATCTTTGCTTCTTCCTCATTAGTTCTCATCGATAATAATTACCTAGTCGCATTGCACACATCCATCATCTACTACATTTGAAATAATAATGCCCTTCAAATTTCTTCTATCCATGACCGATGATAAAATTTAGTAAACAGTGATCAACAACAACAATAACTTGATTGAATACTCAACAGCGAACCGTTCGAGAGGGTACGAGTAGGGTAGGCTTGAATTCAGTGCAGTGTTACAGCGTATTTACATACCTTAGTGGTGGAAGATTTACGTATTCACTCACAGACGTACGGTTAGCGGAATAAGTCCGCTAATCCGCTAAGGTTTGCAAAAAATTAGTTCGCTAAACCGTTAAGCAACGACAATGAACCCACTAATGCTAAAAATTCCACTAACTAAACACATTAGCGCTCTAATCGCTAACGCTAATAGCGGATTAGCGCGCTAACGCCTATCTTTGCTGAAATGTGTCCTGATGTGAGTAAAAAAAACTTGTAGAAGAAGACAACAGATGATTCTCGATAACGATCATCGCGTTTTGTTTGACAAAAAGCAAACTAATTGATAATGGAAAACTTATCGCTTGCATGAATTTAACTAACGCGCATATGTTTATGTAATCGCTCATTAGGTGAAATTTAATAGTGTGCATTCGATGCCGAATAATAGCTATGAAATTTTACAATATTTTCTATATACAAAAAAATGAATTCAATGAATGATTAGAACCTTATTCGGTAATAAGTGAATGGCAAAAAAAGAGCCGTTATGCAGTGATACAAGAACTGAAATACGACGTGTCCACGCGGCCATATAACGACCACCATTATGAGCGATAATAATGAATTCTGGCACATCACTGAAACATTCTTTCACATTTCATTCCGTTATTCACTTCAGAATCGTACAACTATATCATGATTTGGTAAGCATATTTGGTAGATATATGTGTTTTTCGTCATTTTAATCGGTGTTGCTACCTTATCGCAATGATAACAATAAAACGACAAAGAGAAAAATTGTCATTATTAATAAAAGCAAATAAACAAACGATTTCTTTTTTTGCTATTAATAACTTGTGATAAAAAACGCGGATGTTTAAGCTTTAGAATCACCACACAAAGAATTCCACTTTCAATGTTGTGCATTCATAATTCTCATTGACGTTTTACAGCAGAATAATTCCTAACCTTTGTGATCTATGCATACTAAATATAAATAACTATGAAATGAATCATTGTATGAATGTGCGAAGAAATTTGGCAAACTCAGTTAAAAAATTGCGATGGCATACGCAAGTGAATAGTGGTTATTGACTTGCTAAGAGTCACCCGATTAACAAGCGAACGTTTTGATCCGTAATTCTTCTTTTGGGATTTCGCTAGGCGCACTTCTTGTGCGGAACAGTTGTTTCAGTAAAGGCTTACCCTCTCAATGCACATTCCTGAGCTAAAACATAACTGCAAGAACCTTGGAATGAGTATCCTAAACGATCAAACGTTATATAGTGGGGATCACCGAATACCGTACATGTACCTTCTCCTGAAAAAAGACAATAGTTGCATCCTGTTAACCAGGTGGCAACAAAACCGTCTAACTGAACAAATATTCTGCACATAATTTTTCCACCTGATGAGTGAATGAACAAGCAAACAAAATTGTCATTTCTTACTTCTGCATTTGTGAAAAAGTACAATACTCACTCAATTCACAATCATGACAACAGGATCCATCGACCTTCTTCAATCGCCTCCCTCGAGGACATTTACCTTTCCATCTACATTTCTCCTTTGCACATATAATTCGTCCATTATCACATGAACATTCCGTGCATTCCGTTGTTCTCCATTGATGACCATGCTTTATGAAAAAAATGATTTTGAAGTGCTCCATGCACGAAATTTAGCATGACTCATTGCCCACTGAACAGCTATCAAGACTGCGTTTTTGCAATTCTTCAAATGTTCAGGAATTGAATGTTTTCTTCACTGAAAAACGAGAATGCTTTCATAAAAATATGTCGTGGCGATTATGTCGTGCTGCATAAAAATAAGTTGAAAACAACTGAAATAGGATGTGCATTTCTTAATTTATATGAGATCTGCTCAGCTGAGGAAATAACGTCGATATGATACTGGAATAGTGAGTAGGTGATTGAATGAATGCAAATAAACACCTGTACGTAATTAATTGTGCCATTTGGTGAAAGAATTCGACAGCGACGAGCTTTAATGTGACAAAATGAACAACAAACATTCTCTCGATAGAAACTTCGTGATGCATCACATTGCGTATAAGGGCATGCGAATCTGAAAAATTATCAGTCAGTTCAGATTCGTTCCACAGTTCAAAACCGATAGATATTCGTCATGAACAGAATGTTTTTTCGGAATACATATCTCTCAAAATTAGTGAATTTCCACATAAAGTTATGGGAATGGTAACGGAATTNAAAAAAAAACTACTGATTCGGGAGAATTTCATTTGCAGTAATGCAAAGAGCATTGACTGAACGTAATAAATCTCTTCTTTCACCGTGAAAGATGCAAAATGATTGGAACAGTGATTGTATAAATACTGCAGCTGAACTGAATAGACTAAACGTTACTTTTTTCAACCGTCAAACTACCAAGGAAAATTGCCCAACTAGTTTCAATGAACAAGCGTACAAAGTTGAAAACAATCAAAATGTCCTCTTTCTCGTTTTATCATAACAAGCTGTTTGAAATTATCAGACATATACTTTTACGATTAATTACCTTCGACAAAAAATACCGCCTTGCTGACAAATGCATCTGGTACATGGATCTGTACGAAACACTTCTTCAACTCTGAATCGTCCACCACGAAATGAACAGTACAGTTTTGGTAGATCGTTGGCAGCCTTGACAACTGTATCAGAGACGCGATACGTTTTGCATTCTGCACAACATCTGCATGATATATTTTTTGTGAAAGGTGATCAGCAACTGAGCAGAAAACATTCAGTTCTTCAATGCCCGTAATGCTCATTCGAGTTTCTTATTCTGACTGAAATAAATTCGGAAGATTCTGAAACAAGCAACGAGTGAAGAAGAAGACGATAAATATGGAGTAATCATTGTTGCAAAAATAATGGAAACCAACTTATTTGGTAGGGTTCGATGCTCAGAAAGGGGACAGTCAAGTACGGGACATGCAACTCGATAACAGTGATACCATTGACCAAGTACGAAATCACACGTGATGCACGGATCATCTGTTTGAATTGGTTTCGCACACAAACGACAGCAAAAGCCAGTGATGCGACGTGCTTGCGGACATTCAGAAACGCACTGTATACGCCAACTTGTTATTACACCAGCCTTTAATTCAACCATATAGAACATATAGCACCGACGAGAACAGCAATGGAATGCAAATTTAGTTTGCTGACATAAGAACGAAAGAACGCTTGTAGTCATTAGTAGTCTTTCAGGAGGTGATTCAACCCTCCAAATTTTCCCGCATACAACACAAACCGTATGGTTTAAGTGAATGAATTTGACAGGATGTATTTTCTACCCTGAGAAAAAAAATAGAGATTCGCACACTGTAAAGCATAAGATTCTCATATTTATGAACACTTTCAACCGACTTTGCATGCGATCTGTGTGCATGAGTCTTGTGAACTAATCCAACGTTCATCATTTTGTCGAACAACACCCAGATATAAACATGTTAAACATTTCGGACAACATGATCCTTCAAGAGGCGATTCAACCACTGGACAATCATCTGTTGAATTGCACTTCTCACGAACACATTCCACTTCACCACCCTGCAATAAGATCAGTGGAATAGTTATTCACCATTTTTTTTTGCTACATTCCAGAAAGGTACATCTGATACGATTTAAATTCATATTTTATTCACGATTTGCTTCTTTGGGCCTATCAATGTAATTACTGAACTGGTGAAAATTCATCAAGTTGATGGGTAATTTGACAATCTGAGTTTTTTCTTGCAGTCAAAAGCTAACTATCACATTTTGAGGCAAAAATAAACATTGAAATGTAGATAAGAGTTCTTTGAGATGCATACAATGACAAACTTTTAAGATTGAATGCAATTAGATAGGTAAATGATTAGATTCGATGAAGATTTTCATCAGTAAAATAAAAATAAACAAGCGAAGGTTGATCAAGATTTATTGATGTGCAAGGTATGCAAAAACAATAAATGAACATAAATCAAGACGTTATTTAAAAAACAAATAGATTTGAGAGAGTTGGTAAATTCAACATTGTGTGAACTCATTAATTACGATATCATTCAATTTCATGAACTGCATTTGTGCGTTTCTTCACCATTCACTAGTCACTTCCCATTTGATCGATTGTTATTCACCTCAGTCATTGGAAACGATAATTTATTTATCTAATCGACGCACCATTCCATTAATTTGTTTTCTTCTCCTTTGAGAACCTTATCTTCAACAGAATCAATGCTAATTCCATGAGGATGAACGTCTTTCCAGAAGATAATGAAAATTCGTATATTATCTTCAAAACAGCAAACTGCCGTATAACTTCAGAGTGTAAAACGAGACTGATGATTAAAAAAACAAGACTGATGAAAATCGTTTGTTTTGAGTGATTAAAAACGTGGTACACAAAAGTTGCAATTATGCCATGATTAATTGTGCTAGTGTACTTTGTGTTTGAGCTTAAAACGCATCATTAATATTGTTTATTCTTTTCGCTTTATACACTATTTCGTTCAATCCCATACTAATGTTGCAAATTGTCGTACCAAATGTTATCGCTAAATCTTGAATGTTGGATACTTAAAAGTGCGTCAAATTGGTATAACTGGGCCCTTAAAAGCAACCCTGTTTCTGTATAACACACGCAGGCTGGCACACAGACTTTCGGTTAAGGGCAGAAGTGGGGATTTGTTGAATGCGATCAGAGCGAATGAGTGTCAGGATTTAAAACATTCAATTCGTTGAGATTAATGCAAAACAGAGATAGATAATTGTTTTAAAATATCTTCGATGAGCATTCAGTCATTCGGCAAAATATTTCCATTCTCAACTAGAAAAAAATCATGCAGCTGAGCTTGAATGAATCAAATCGCTCACGCGCATAAAAAAACGACCGTAAACCAACGAATGATATTTTATATAT